AGTGTCAATTTGAGAGAATCTGGAATCATTTAAGAGGCAAACCTGGATATACTTGTGAGGGAATTTCTAGAATGGGCCAATTATGGTAAGAAGCCCCATCTCAAATGTGGGTGGCGCTGTTGCACATGGTGGGTGGGGTCCCAGGTGAAATAAAAAGGGAAAAGGGAGCTGAGCACCAGCATCCATTCATCCCTCTTAATTTCTACACCTGTAGATGCAACACAACAAGCTTCCTCATGCTTGTACTGCCTTAATTTGTGCACTGTAGTGATATTTTATTTGATTTTTAACAAATAAAGCTTGCCTGAAGATCAGAGTACAGAGCTAAGCCACTAGAGGACAGGAAGTGGTGGCACACACCTTTAATCCCAGGACTCCGGAGGCAGAGGCAGAGGGATCTCTGTTAGTTCAAGGACACCCTGGGCTACTCCAGATTGAACAGAGTCCACACAAAGGTGATTCCAGTAGTTGGGATCCCTTGCCTTTAGTCCCAGCACTGGGGAGGTGGAGACAGTGATGATGTGGCTGGGTGGAGAGAGGAAGTCAGCAGAGCAGATGCAGTCTGAGGTTTGCTGGAGACAGTTTCAGTCTGAGGATGCAGTTTGATCATGCAGTCTGAGGACAGGATCACCATTTTGGTCTGAGGATTTGGTAGAAGTAAAAGGTCTCTCTAGAGACTGGTGGCTCTGCTTCTCTGATCTCTCAGCTTTCATTCCCTAATATCTGACTCTGGGATTTGCTAATTAGAATTTGAGTTACAGTCCACCATAGTGGGATGTTCTCTAAAACTATGAGCCAGAATAGGCTTTTCCATCCTTAAGATGCCTTTACTTGGCATTTTGTTATAGCAACAAGATTTAAAAAAAAAAAAAAACCTTTCTCATTTCCCCATAAGAAGCAAAGCCCCCATTCACATGTAATGACACCTGAACTCCTCTTAGCAACCTCTGGGTGGATAACCCCACAACACCCCAGGTTCCCCCTCTTTTCTTCATTACCAGTAGCATATTTTAATATCTTAGCCATATACTGTTGTCATCATACCTTAAGCCCTGTCAGTAGCAGAACCTACACAATTTGAGTTAAAAAGAAAACTCTTTAGTCATATATGGACTGCCATGTCCCTGGTTCACTTGCATAAATGTCATACTGGACACAACTAAATGTCCTTACTGAAAACTTCACCCTGGTTTATTCCACAGTTATATGAAAGTCCTTATGCTGGCACATGGAACTCCTGAATCAGCTTAGCTATTCCTGTAATATGCTTAAGGCTACGAATACTCTCTGAAGTTATTGCTTTCTCTACACTCACAAGCTAATTTTCACTTTAACTCTAATATAATTTTGTTTTATTGTACTTACTATTCTTAAGGTTATTGAGCTTGCTTTTCCTGTATTCTTCCCCCCTCTTTAAAAAAAGACTTATTTTATTTTTAATTGTGAATGTGTATGAGGTGTATGTGCATTTGAGTGTTAAATGTACGTGGAAGCCAGAGTAAGGTGTTTTTGAGAGTGGTGGTTTGGATGAGAATGGCCTCCTTAGGCTCATATGTTTGAATACTTGGTCCCCAGTTGATGGAGCTGTTTGGGAAGGATTAGAAGGCATCACCTTGGAGGAGGTGTAACACTCAGGGTGGGATTTGAGGTTTAAAAAGACTCAACCATCCATGTTGTAGTGAGCCACCCAGCATGGGTGTTGGGAACCAAACCCGGGTCCTCTGCAAGGGCAGTGCATGTTCTTCTCCTTCTCTCCAGTCCCTTTCTTTGGCTTTTTAGAAACAGTTTTAGCGAGATGTAATTGCCATTCATACAATTATTCCATTTAAAGAGTACAAGTCAACGGTTTTCATGTATTGACAAAGTTTTGAAACTGTCACCACAGCTAATTTTAAATTTACTCCATAAAAGAAAGCCAGCACCCATTTGTAGTGAAATCTCTAACACTCCCTTACTAGCAGCCCTAAGAAACACTAACCTACTTTCTAAGTTTGCTTATTCTGGGCATTTGCATGAGCAGAATCATATAAGATGCTCTTTTGTGACTAGCCGTTTTCACTAGGCATGTTTTCAAAGTTCATCTGTCTTATGGTGAGTATCCATACTTCACTGCTTTTTGGAGGTTTTTTTTCTGTTGTTGTTTTTGTTTTTGTTTTTCGAGACAGGGTTTCCCTGTGGCTTTGGAGCCTGTCCTGGAACTAGCTCTGTAGACCAGGCTCACAGAGATCCGCCTGCCTCTGCCTCCCGAGTGCTGGGATTAAAGGTGTGCGCCACCATCGCCCGGCTGGAGGGGTTTTAAAAAAGATTTATCTATTTGTCACATATACAGTGTTCTGCATGTTTGTATGCCTACATGCAAAAAAAGGGCACTAAATCTCATTATAGACGGTTGTGATTTGAACTGGGTCAGCAGGCAGCGCTCCAAACCCCTGAGCAATCTCTCCAGTTCTACTTCACTGCTTTTTTTCTGATGAGAAAAATAATACCATTGGGAACAATATTAACACTATCATTTAGCTATACCACATTTAAGAAAAACTCGTTCATTAGTTGATAGACATTCTCCTGTTCTCAGATTCCTTAGTTGCCTGTACTCGTTTGTCTAGGGTTGAGGCCTTGTGAACTTTCCCCCTTCATTAAATTGTCTATTGGTGCCATCCTCGGTCAGGTCATGGTTAGAGAGTCCTCTTAGTGAGACTTCGCGAGTGTCCATCCTGACATTTCTAGTGGACAATGTCACATCAAACTTCTCTCCACCCCCTTCCCCACGGATCCCTGAGCCTTAGGTGCAGAAGTTGTGTTGAAGATGGATAAGTTGGGACTGGACACCAGACTGATGGCTGTGGTTTTCTACAATGGTCTCTTAGACAAGAAGTTTCTTTGAGGAGGGGTGAGAACTAGAGGTATCTGTTGGTCTAAGGACAAGTATTTAGAATTTAGGTAGGGATAATCCTAGATACTGCTTGCAACATAAAAGTATTTATTTCTGTATAACCTAATTTATCTTTTTATTTCTTTTGGCATTCACGTACTTGGTGTCATATCTAAGGAATCATTGGTTCCCTAAAGGTCACTAATATTTTTTCCTGTTTTTGCTTACATGAGTTTTAAATTTTTAACATTAACATTTAGGTCTATTATTCATTTTGAGGTTGTTTTTTTTTTTTTTTTTGCATCTGTGGCTTTGTCTGTCATTACTTCTGTAAAACTGACTACTATCCCTTTAAATATTACTTCTGCCCAATCCTCTCTCTTCCCTGTTTTGAGTTTGTTATACTTACGCTGGATTCATTCATTGCACATCGGCTTTCAAGTTCTGCTGTTCCTTCACTGCTTCCTCTTTGTGCTCCAACTGGAGTGTTTTTTCTTTTCTTGATTTTCCCCCAAACCTATTAATCTCTGTCCTGCTACATCTAATCTTCAGTTTAACTCATTTACTGAGTTCTTGGCTTCATATATTATACTTTTTCAAGAATTTCCCACTGATTCTATTAAAATTCTGTAACATATTTTTACCCATCATCCCCCTCCTCCATTTTTATGACCTACTGCTTTATTTTGTAATAGTCATTTCAAAACTTCTCTAAACTTTAACATCTGGTTTATCTGTGAGTTTTCTATTATCTTTTTTCCTCCTCTTTATCATTGGCCAAACTTCCTGTTTTTGTCATGTCTTACACTTAAAATCAACCACATATCCCAGAGTTTTACACAAAATTCCCATAGACAACACAGATGCTTAGTTTCCACTAAAATGGAAATTAGACAAGTAGGGGGTCTGATATCATCCACACAGTCCTAGAGGAGCTAGGTTGTGGTTGGGATGAGGTTATTAAGACTCAGTCAACTTCTAGTTTCTTTCTGTTCATGATTCCTCTGAACTTTTGATCAAGAACCAGAAAGGTATCCACCTCCTTGGCCTTTATGTGAAAAGGATTCAAATAACTTCAGTAGTAATTGTGAAAGTAGAGAGTGTGCTGAATAGTGTCCATGTATAAATAAAAAAAAAAAGATGAATTTTGGTAATACATTTTGTTGTTGCCATATTATTTTGACACTACACATACTGAATAAGCAAACGTTAGTCTTAATTTAGGGACTTGGTAAATATGAGGATCTCGAGTGCTGGGATTAAAAGCGTATGCCACCAATGCCTGGCTGAGGGTCTTTTTTTTTTTTAAAAAAAAAGACTCATTTCTTTATGTACACATGCACACAGGTGCCTGTGGAATCCAGAAGAGGGTGTTGGGTCCCCCGGAGCTGGAGTTGCAGGTGGTTGTGAGCCACCCCAACATAGGGGAACAGAACTCAGGTCCTTTGAAAGAGCAAGAAGCTGTTTTCGTGACTGAGTCAACTCTAGTTCCCAAATTAGCTTTACTAAAAGGAGGTGTACAAACTTAAGATTTAAAAAATATCTTAAATTTTATTTATGTGTTTGCTTGCTTGAATTTATGTATATGTGTGTGCGGGATCCTGCAAAGGCCGGAAGAGGGCTACAGATTTCCTGATTTATTTATATGACATATACCCGCCAATCTTAACTCATAATCAAAAGTACAATTTTTTTTCTTGGTTAAATTCCTTTTTGTTTTTCTCTCCAAATACACTGGAGTGGATCTGTGTGTTTTAGTCAATGGTTCAATTCATCCCATCTTTACTGATCAAATAATAAAATGCACGGGAGCAGAAGCTCTAATCAATACATCGATCTTGAAATATGCATTTAATGGTCAATACTTAGGAGGGCAAGATGGAAAGCACCGGGAGGAAAACCTACGGGTAGGCGTTCCGGGCCCTGGAGGTCTGTAATTGTCTACGTCTCTTAGCTAGACCAGAAACACGTGCAGTTACTACACGCGCCAGCCACGAAAAGGCTGATCTTCAGGGCAGGGATCCAGAGCGCCCGGCGTTCCTACTTCCGGCCCCGGCCCCGCCCCACAGTTGCTAGGAGACGTGATGTCACCGGAAGCGAGGCCTGGGATAGGCTGAGGCCTGGGGAAGCCTCTCCCACACGGCAGCCTGGGTCCCGGCGCTTGCTCGCCAGCTGTTCCTAGGCCCGGGCCGAGGAGCTGGGAAGGGAGCCGGGGGTGCGACCGGTCACCGCTCGCGCAGGCCCGGCCTGTCGTCCTCTCCGCGTCTACTGCTGCTCCCGTCGGGCGGGCAGCCTGGCTAGCAGCTTCCGGGCGGCTGCCCGCGCTCTGACTGACAGGCGCCGTCCCTGCCGCCCGCGCCCCCCGCCACGTCCCCGTTCTCGGCCGGCGCACGGCGTGGCTGCCCCCGACCTCAGAGCCGTGCGCGATGTGGGTTCCAGACTTCGGCCCCGCGCCGCTTCCCAAGAGTCAGCGCACCGGGCCGCTGTCGTCCGTTTCGCCGCTGTGGCCGCTGCTGCTCTTGCTGCTGGCGGCCGTGGGGCCGGTGCGCGCCTGGGAGAGCGGAGACCTGGAGTTGTTCGACTTGGTGGAGGAGGTGCAGCTCAACTTCTACGAGTTCCTCGGGGTGCAGCAGGTAAGCGCGCGGGCCGCCGGGCCGGACCTCGTCGCTCAGCCCGGTCCACCTGACAGCCAGCGCTTTCCCAGTCCCTCACCCTCGCGCCAACTTCGGAACTTCTGGTCTCAGTGCCAGACTAGACGGTGCCACCAGCCTGGGAGTGCCGATACCTGGGCTTTGGCTTTCTGGAGACCGTCCTTTCCCCACCCCCAAAGACTGTGCTGGAGGTAGAAGAAAGAGAGGTGTGGGTAGACCATTTTTACACTGACTCCCTCTCAAGTGTGACACAGTAACTATGTGTCACCCCAAATTGTCATCTTCCCACTAAAACGTATTTTTACTTCATCTGCCTCCCTCCCTCGTTTTTTTTTTTTTCTGGGAAGAGAGAATGCGTTTTGCCCAGCGTCTGTTAGCAGTTTTGCCTTTTTTTTTTTTGCACTGTATTTCGTAATCGTTATAGTCTGCTACTTAAGTTAGTATTCGTGTTCCATTTAGAAATCTGGAAAAATCTGTAACCTCCTCTCCTCAGAGGAGAATCTGTGAAGCCTTCAGGGCTTGAGGTATTTGGGGTGCTGTTGGGAGAGGAGCCCAGGATAGTCTGTGTATTCGTCTTTGCCTCTCTATGCCTAGCTGTTCTGGTTTTAGCTTGGATCTTTACCTTGCGATTGAATGAGCTATCCAGGATCTACCTGAAACAGTGAACAGAAAAAAATAGACATGCCACTTCATGGTTATGGAATGAAAGGCAGGATTTCCCAAGATCTGATTGTGTGAAGTTCTTCACACAAAACATAACTTGTGGAACTTTAAAAAAAGAAAAAGGCACACAACAGGATTAGCTAGGAAACGGACCTTTTCCTACAGGCTATGAAATAGTAAGCTTTCAAAGGAAGTTAAAGTGAGCTATTTAATAGAAATTTAACTTTCAATCATTGCATTTTGATTTCATGATTGTATATAAAATTATTGAGTATAAAATTGCCGTGGAACTGAACTTAACAGTTCTCATTTTTTTGTATGAGTTCTAAATATTTCACATCGCAGATTCCCCCCCCCCCCCCCCCCCACACACACACACAGTTTCTCTGTGTAACAGCCAGTCTGTCCTGGAACTCACGCTGTAGACCATGCTGGCCTTGAACTCAGAGATTCACCTGTTTTTTCATCCCAAGGGCCCCCGGCCAACATCTCAAATTCTTAATCACAAATGGTTTTGTGGTAACTAAAGTTACCTGGTGCCACTTCTGCTCACAGAGAAAAAATATGCCTCATTTCCAAAGCAAATGATAATGTAGTGTATGTAACAGTAATTGGTGAAAATGTAAGTTTGAAGACTCTGTTTTTAGTTTTATTTTTTGTTTTGCTTTGTTTTTGTTTTTCCAGACAGGTTTTCTCTGTGTAGTTCTGGCTGTCCTAGAACTCAGAGATCCTCCTGCCTCTGCCTCCTCTGCTTAATTGCTGCTTAATCTGTTCATATCTGCTGGAATTAAAGACCAGTGCCACCACCACCTTCCTGGGTTTCTGGGTTTTGGTTTTTGAGACAAGATCATGTAGCTCAGGCTATCCTCTAAACCTTTATTCTCCAGCCTCAGGCTTCTCTTGAGTGTTGAGATTATAGGCTTTTCCCACCACATCAAGCCAGAGATTCATTTTACTTTTTAATTTTTTTAAAAAAATAATTTAGGTATAACAGGAAATAATTCCTTTTATACATTTTCCATTTATTTGTTTGTTTTTTATTTTATTTACTTATTTAGGTTACTTAGCTCCTTATCCCCACCCCCAAGGTTTCTCACTGTGCTGTACTGGCTTGCCTGGAACTTAGGAGGTAGGCTGGGCTAGCCTCAAACTCACAGATACTCATCCACCTGCCTCGAGGACTACTGGAATTGAAGGCACTTGCCACTCCATCTGGCCTAGTCCCTTTCATTTCGGTGCCAGTGCCTATCTCTGTTAATGTGCTTACACCTTTTTTTTTGTAGTATCACATCACAATGCGGCTCTAGGTTTTTTGTTTGTTTTAATGTTTATGAGTGTTTTGCCTGCATGTGTGTCTGTGTACCACATTTGTGCCTTGTGCCCACAGAGGCCAGAATAGGGCATCTGATCCCTGGGACTGGAATTACAGACAATTGTGGGCTGCCATGTGGCTGTTGGGAGCCAAACATGGGGCCTTTGTAAGAGCAGCTAGTGCTCTTAACCGCTGAGCAGTCTCTCTAACACCAGGAATAATCAATATCACATGTATGTATGTATGTATGTATTATGTATGCGTGCATGGCAAACATGGAAATCAGAGGACAGCTCTTGGGAGTTGGTGTTCTCTTTCCATGAGGGTCCCAGGGATTAAATTTAGTCAAGTTTGATAGCAGATATTTTTAGCTACTGAGACATCTTGCTAGCTTAAGACTCATTTTAATATTGAGAATACTTGTTTGAGTACTCATTAAGATTGGTTAAATTCTGCAGCTAATGAAGAGTTTTATATATAACTGTTCTGGCTAGTATTTTTTTCAACTTGACACAAGCTAGAGCCCTCTGTAAAGAGAGAATCTCAATGGAGAAAATGCCTGGATCAGTTTGGTCTGTGGGCAGGTCTTTTGGCAAATCTTTGGGAGAATGTTCCTGACTAAATGATTGATATGAGAGGGCCCAGCCCACTGTGTGTGGTACCACTCTTGGGCAGGTGGTCCTGAGTTATATAAAAAGCAAGGCGAGCAAGCCAGTAAACAGCATGCCTGCATAGTCTCTGCTTCATTTCCTGCCTTGACTTCTTTTAAAGATGGACTGTGGCTTGGAAATATAAGCCAAAAAACCCCTTTTCTTCCTTAAGTTTATTTTACCAGTGTTCTACCACGGCAACAGAAAGCAAAGTAGGTCAATAGCCAATAATGAAAATCTTGGCGGTACTTTTGAATTGTTTATAAAAATTAAGCTTCCTTAAGAGAGTGCAGAGGCAGGCAATGGTGGCACACGCCTTTAGTCCCAGTACTAGGGAGGCAGAGGCAGGCGGATCTCAGAGTTTGAGGCCAGCCTGGTCTACAAAGTGAGTTCTTTAACAGCCAGAGCCATTACACAGAGAAACCCTGTCCCAAAACAAAACAACAACAAAAAACCTCCAAAACCAAAACCCACAAAAATCACAAAACAGAGAGAGAGAGAGAGAGAGAGAGAGAAGAAGAAGAAGAAGAAGAAGAAGAAGAAGAGAAGAGAAGAGAAGAGAAGAGAAGAGAAGAGAAGAGAAGGAATACCGAGACTTCAGCAGTAGTGATTTCAAACTTGGATTATCTGTTGGTTGGAGAGATGGTTAAGATTACTTACTGTTTTTGCAAAGGAATGGAGTTCTCTTCCTAGTACCTGTGTTTTTTAGCTCACAACTGCCTGCAATTCAGTTGTAGGGCATCTGACAGTCTGTATGGCCTCTGTGGGTACTGTAATCATATGTACAAATCTATACACATATACATATATTTTTAAAAGATTAGATTATCTAATCTAGCATTATCTGTGCACTGTTGTGGTTTGTGATCTCATGCTGTGAATTAGTATGAACAACTAGAGACCTTAACTTTGTAAAGAAAGATGGGATAATATGTATAGATAATTGAGAAAATTTGGAAAGAATCCAGAAAATTGTTTTAATCTGTATTTCTGTGTTTAGCTCTATCAAAGTATAAAAGAAAGCTAAAAGAAACTTTATTCTATTGACACAGAAAAATAGATCTTAACTTTCTTGGAAGATTTTCCAGGGGTCAGATAGTTGGTAGATATAAACTTAACCTGTTTAAAGTTTAAAATTTAATTCAAGCAAGAGCCAAACAATCTTTTGTTGACTCATAGATGCTGGGAATAGAACAGTAGAAAGACTACTGTTCATTCAGTGGAGATTTATTTGGTGTTTACTGGCTCTTAAACATAATCGTTTAGATTAATAGTTTAGTGGGGTAAGTATACAAATAGCAAAAGGTAGCAGATGGACAGAGAAATTAGAAGACATAAAGCATTAATTCCATTCATAAGGACTCTGCCCTTATAACCTATCAATTGTCAGATATTCTAGGTCTTAGTACTTACCACTGTTGGGATTGGTTTTCAACATACTAATTTTAGAAGGACTCAATTATATTTTATTATATTATTGTATTAATATATAAATAATTAAATTATTATTTCATATATTACACTATGAAATATATTGATGTATTAAAATTAATAATAATTGCATTGAGATATCAGTAATATACAATGTATATTAATATGATATACGATTAATATATGATGATATATCTAACTCACATTATAGCATAATGGAGGAACATTCAGCATGGTTGACAAGCAAGCATGGTGGGCAAACAGTCAAGGAAGAAAGTAAGTACACAGGCCTCGACAGGAGTTTGTTGAGTGTTTGAAGGAGTAACAAAGCAGACAGTATGGCTGGAGCAGAGTGATGGAGATTAGTAATAGGAGATATGATCCAAGTCGTAAGTGGTAAGGACAGATTATACAGGGACTTACAGGCCATTATAAGGATTTTGACTTTTATTTATAATTACGTTAGGGAGTGGATATTGACTAGATGTAAACTAAACATTGTCGTGTCTTTGTGTGAAGAATAGTTTGTAAGGCATTAGTTACTTAGAGAAATAATGGTAATGTAGAATGAAGCATAGGCCTGGGTGATAGCAGTGAGATTAGTATAAAGTGATTAGATTCTGGATTTAATTTGATCATAAACTGACAATGTTTTACTCAGATGCTATGCTAGCTAATTGTTTGTTTTCCCAAACTTGACATAGACTTAAGTCATCTGAAAAGAAGGACCTTCATTTGAGAAAATGCATCTACCAAACTAGCCTGTATGCAAGTCTTTGGTACATTTTCTTGATAAGTGATTAACACAAGAGGGCTCAGCCTACTGTGGGTGGTGCCACTCCTAGGCAGGTGATATTGGGTTGTATAAGGAAGCAGGCTGAGTAAGCCATAGGAAGAAAGCCAGTAAGCAGTGTGACTCCACAGCC